CTATTTGAGTTGTTGCTGTGATTTGTGTGCTTTAAATGGACCTTTCACTTCATGGGGCACAGAGGAGATCAGGACTACTTCCTTGCCACTGCCTTAAAGTTTGTTTTATTTTGATAACCTTGGACATGTCTAGCCTTAGTGTTAACAAATAATCATTCATAGAAGTCATACCCTCTTCATTGAAGAGGTGGCTCATAGGCAAGGCAGAAGAGAGTTGAGAAAGGTCTGCCGTATTGGTGTATGTATGACCTAAATTTGAGCCTTTCCTCATGTGGTTTCTCAAGTTGGTCTAGCTGCTTATTAAAAGGCATGTAATGGGGATTGCTGGTTTTAATGTAATGAAGTTCATTATGGACTCTAATAAAGTAAAGAATGGATTATCTGAATTTTGGATTCTGTCCTGAAGCTGTCAAAGTTCTGTGCAAAACTGGAACGAATTGGCCAAGGCCACAGAAGTGTGGTGACAGCTTTGGTCTTAGTTCTGCTTTAATAAACTAAAGGAAGCATCAACTTCAAAGGAAAAAAGAATTAGTGCAAAAGTTCCATGCCTGGCTGCCCAATTTGACTTTCCAGTCCCTGCACCTGCAGTTCAGCATGGGTGTTCAGATCTTTGCCTGGCAGGAGCGATGCAGGGGTCCCACCTGTTAGGAGTCCAGTTGTCCTTCGTGCTCATGGTGAGATGTTGACTTTTTAGTATGGAGGTGAGGTGGTCTTAGTTGGTCTTGCTCTGCCACTGTAGTTCAACTTCTCTGCTTTGCAAACAAATCTTAAAGTGGGGTGGAAGCAACTTTGTATGGTATCAAAAACCCATAATAGATTATTTTTTTTTAAAAAAAGCAGATTAAACAAAAATCTTACTTTCAATTGCTACTGTCTTGGGAAGGGCAAAGGAGAAATTCTGAAATGTTCCTGTACCCCAAATCTTCAAGAAGCAAGCTGGAATGCCATCTCCTGGTTCTGGTGCCAGCAGCTAGAGCCCTGCTCTTTGTAACGCTCCACGCTTCGGCCTTAAAGGCACTGTTCAGTATCCTTAACGGGCAGAGCTGCCTGACACGGGCATGGCCGTTTGTAAAGGCATGGTGATGTAGCTAGTTAGTCCTCACCATTGCCACTAATGAGAGGCACTGAGAGTACAAAGCTGGTGGAAGTCTTTGCTATGTGTTGTGTGCTTTTTTTCCTGCCTTTTTGATAACCTACGATTTATTTGAATGTTTGAGGCTTGGGGAAGATATTACTTGACTAATCGGACCTTTCCTGTATTGGCTTATGAGGAGGAAAAAGGGCCCTCTTGGACAGGAGGACATTAAGTGGATGGGCACACAAGCTGTTTACATTGCAACGAAAAGTATCTGTTACTCTCCTTGTGGGGTTGGGAAGAAACAGGCTAGTGCAGGGTAGGTAACTCCACTGCCTGGTAGGAAAATCATTGTTTCTCTTTAAATACAGTGGAGCAAGGCTGCTTTCTTGTTTCTGGTGAGTCTAGGCAAAGCCTGAGAGCTCTGGAATTACTTTTTTCTTAAGTTAAATGTAGGAAAAGATTTTTATTTTTTTTTTCCTGGCTTTGGTGATGTCAGTTTGGATCTGGCTCTAATCTAGATTAAGTTGTCTTGGAGCTGGAGATGTCAGACTACAGCACTTCTTATCTCAGGATGCCAACTGGTAGGGTTGCCCTTCTGTTGGTTGTGTTCTTACTTGGCTTGGATATTAAGGGCCCACAAAATGTTGACATTTGCTGATTGTCACAGCTATTAAAATATCTAAACCAAGAGAAATAAATGCATAAGGGTACTTAGGCATTTGTTCACAAGCTTGTAACTGTCTCCAGCATCTTCTCTATTATTTTTTTGGGGTGTAAATTGCATTCCTGTATTTAGCTATATGTGTCAGTAATCCATAGTGTTAAATCATAGAATCATTTAGGTTGGTAAAGACCCTTAAGATCATTGAGTCCAACCATTAACCTAGCACTGCCCACTCCACCACTAAACCATGTCCCTAAGGGCCACATCTACCAGTCTTTTAAATACCTCCAGGGATGGTGACTCAACCACTTCCCTGGGCAGCCTGTTCCAATGTATGATAACCCTTGCTGTGAAGAACTTTTTCCTAATATCCAATCTAAGCTTCCCCTGGCACAACTTGAGGCCATTTCCTCTTGTCTTATCACTTGTTACTTGGGAGAAGAGACCCCCCACCTTGCTGCAACCTTCTTTCAGGTAGTTGTAGAGAGAGATAAGGTCTCCCCTCAGCCTCCTTTTCTCCAGACTAAACAACCCCAGTTCCCTCAGCCACTCCTCATAACATTTGTGCTCCAGACCCTTCACCAGCATCATGCCCTCCTCTGGACACGCTCCAGCACCTCAATGTCTTTCTTGGAGTGAGAGGCCCAAAACTGAACACAGTATGCCAGGTGAGGCCTCACCAGTGCTGAGTACAGGGGGACGATCACTTCCCTAGTCCTGCTGGCCACGCTATTTCTAATACAAGCCAGGATGCTCTTGGCCTTCTTGGCCACCTGGGCACACTGCTGGCTCACATTCAGCTGGCTGTCGACCAACACCCCCAGGTCCTTTTCCGCCAGGCAGCTTTCCAGCCACTCTTCCCCAACCCTGTAGCGCTGCATGGGGTGGTTGTGACCCAAGTGCAGGACCTGGTACTTGGCCTTGTTGAACCTCATACCATTGGCCTTGGCCCACTGATCCAGCCTGTCCAGATCCCTCCGTAGAGCCTTCCTACCCTCAGGCAGATCAACATTCCTGCGCAATTTGGTGTTGTCTGCAAATTTACTGAGGGTGCACTCAATCCCCTCATCCAGGTTGTTGATGAAGGTATTAAGCAGAACTGGCCCCAGTACTCAGCCCTGGGGAACACCACTTGTGACTGGCTGCCAACTTGATTTAACGCCATTCACCACCACTGTTTGGACCCGGCCATCCAGACAGTTTTTTACCCAGCAAAGGGTATACCCATCCAAGCCATGAACAGCCTGTTTCTCCAGGAGAATGCTGTGGGAAACTGTGTCAAATGCTTTAGTAAAAGTGTAGGTAGACAACATCCGCAGCCTTTCCCTCATCCACTAAGCTGGTTGGCTTGTCACAGAAGGAGATCAGGTTAGGCAAGCAGGACCTGCCTTTCGTAAATCCACGCTGACTGGGCCTGATTGCCTGGTTGTCCTGGACATGCTGTGTGATGGCACTCAAGATGATCTGCTCCATAACCTTTCCTAGCACCGAGGTCAGACTGACAGGCCTGAAGTTCTCCGGATCCTCCTTCCAGCCCTTCTGTAGATGGGCGTCACGTTTGCTAACCTCCAGTCAACTAGGACCTCCCCAGTTAGTCAGAACATTTATCAATGATGGAAAGTGTCTTGGTGAGCACATCTGCCAGCTCCCTCAGTACCCTTGGGTGGATCCCATCTGGCCCCATAGATGTGCATGTGTCTTATAGACTTGTAGTTGCTTATGGTTGAGGTGCTGATGTGCCTTTTATGTTTTAAAGCTTAGAGCTCTTTGTGGAGGCGGCTGCTCTTGTCTGCCCTTTAGTGCTGGTTCTTATACAGTACTCTTGCAGACTTTCTATGGGCTTCTTTCTCTGTCCTTCTGTTCTGCTTTGTGAGGTGGTGCAGGCAGTACTTAGAGTGCTCATATTTTAGGAGAAATTTAGGGTGGGTGCACGGTTTCTTCCTTTCTCCTCCCTGCCTTTCCTTCCTCCATGACCTGCAATTGCACAGCGAATGGTGGTGAGGCTTTTTTTTTTTTTAACACTGAGCATTCCATTTCTGCTTTTGGGTGGTTGCTTTCATTCTGCTAACAGGTTGGATTTGCATAAGTCATGAGCTTTCAAGGGTTAGCTGAAACATGTTGCTATATCAGTAAGTGAAAGCTCTCCAAGCTGTTTCCTCCAACTTGTGATTTAGTAAGTATTGATGATCGTGGCCAGTTTTCACACGTGCTCCCCAGGATATCTTCATTCCCTAAGGCAGCAGGACTCTCGTGGGCTGTCTCTGGGCTAACGTTAGTCATATATGTTGCCTAAGGAAAGCTATGAGGGATGAGAGACGTAGTGCTACAGCTGTCCTTCAGGCAGGAAGAGTTCCTAGGTGCCTAGGAGGGGCAGCAAGGCAGTTTATAGAGCTGTTTTGAAGAGACTACACTGGAAGTAAAGAAAAGGTGTAGGTGACTAAAATATCTCAATTTTTCTAGTTCCAGTAAAATACTACAAAATTTTTACAGGGAGGGGGATTGTTTGAGAACTCCTTCAAGGTGTGAGTTTCTCCTTTGACTATTTAGCATATTTTTCTAATCAGATACTGTCAATTGTGGGCTATGGATGAGATGGAGATGTGGAGGGTGGAAGTAGACAAGAAGAAATGTACAGGATGAAGAAGTGTAGGGGGAGTGCTGGTCTCTGTAGCTGCCCTGTGCCCCACACTGGTTTGTTCAATAAGGTGGAATCTGAGGGGCTTTGATCAATCAGATTATTCAATTAATTTGGGTAAATACTGCACGTTGTGACCCGACCATTCACCATGCAACGCCCATGCTAGTCTGCTACTGTGCTTCGCAGATTGTAAATTGGTTGTAAATTCAGCTATTGGTACTTAGGAGTTGGGAACATGTGGAAATGTAATTGCTTGTGTGGCCTGTGTTCTGTTGGGATAAACGTTGGAGTACCTATCAGTTTTTCCTTGGGAAGGATTCAAAGGGTGGAAATGAGGAAGGTGTTCGTGTGCCCAGAACCAGACCTCTGCTGGGAGGCACCAGTACTTGCTGCACAAGTTGTGTTTGATGCAGTAACAGAAAAGTGAAGTAAAGGGGCAGCATATGTCCTTAAGTCTTGAGCTTGCCTTGTTTATGACAAGTGAACTTGTTTGTGACAGTGCACGTGAATCTGGAGTTACTGGAGCGGAGAGAGTAACTTGCCTCTTTTTTTAGCTAAAATAGATACAAGCTCTCAGTTGCCATGTCCATAAACTAACTTCTTTCTCTCTTCATTTGCAGTTACGTTGTCTCATATCACACAGCTGGTTCTGAGTCACAACAAGCTTACAAGTAAGTATGCTCCTGTTTTTGGATTTCACTACAGGCAGTTGAGCAATACTGAAAAGCTGACACTGCTAGTTTGATAATTTTTTTTTTTTTTAAACTGTGACACTGCGTTCTATAAGAAGAGTGCTTCTTGGTGAAGCACTTTATTAGAAATAGAGATTGAGAATGAGACTTAACATCCATGTTCAATATGCCTTTCCAACTTTAATACAGATCTACCACGTACTGGAAGATCTGTAATTCTTAGTCTTGTTACCAGTTCAGCCAAAAATCCATTCCCTACCATAGTTCTGAAGTCCTTAAATTTAGGTGAGGATTTTTGAATTTGTAACTTTATCAGAAATAATAGTTTGTGTTTTAATAGATGGATAATTATTTAACTGAAGCAAGTGAAAATAAATTACAACTCAACTGCATTATATCTATAACTAAATATATGCACGCAAGGCGAACTGAATGTGAGCTCAGTCATGAAAGTCAAGCGATCTGCTTCTGTCAAAAAAATCTTTTGAGTGCAAGTTGTCTCTTGCTCGTACTGCACACACCACCTTCAGTTATTACCCTATGGATCCTGCTTCTCACAGTAAAGAAACCCTTAAGTGAGGTATTGATGAATAGCATGTCATGAGAGCAACATAAATGTGGGACTTAATTTAGTGGAGGCAGATATCAGACTGACTTTTGCAAGGCAAAAAGAAATATTTTTTTTTGTAGGAATATGCTTCAGGTTTACCCATCACTGTCTTGTGCAAATGTTCCTGCTTCATGGTTGTTAAAACACAAGCAGTGAGTTTTGTTTGATCCTTGTTATTGTGCATCTTCTAAGAGAAGAAAAATGTTGATGTTGTGCTTGTCCTTGTCTATTCTCTGCGTGTGCCAGTGGATTTCTGCCCAAACCAGTCCTTCCCTTTTTGGAGCTGAATTTTTTTAAGAGTGCATGAAATGGGGAGACGAATGGAGCCACCAAAGGAGTTGCATGTAAAAAGATAACTGGGTAGGTGCTTTGGCATGTGCCAGGCTATACCCAAGAAAGGCTTTACAGATTGAAATGGGTTTTAAAAAAACAACCCAAAAAACATACCAATAAAATCCAGCCTATTGAACTCTGAACGACTTGCTGCACAAGCTGTAAGATAGTATGTGTTATTTAATATGTGTCCCAGTGATAGGATAAGAGGTAACAGGCATGAACTTGAACATAGGAGTTCCATCTTAACATGAGGAGGAACTTCTTTGAGGGTAGTGGAGCACTGGAACAGGCTGCCCAGAGAGGTTGTAGAGTCTCCCACTCTGGAGACATTCAAAACCCGCCTGGACGCTGTCCTGTGCAACCTGTTGTAGGTGACCCTGCTCTGGCAGGGGGGTTGGACTAGATGATCTCCAGAGATCCCTTCCAACCCTAACCATTCTGTGATTCTGTAAAGTATATGTATTAATGCAAAAATCTCACTTAAGGCTCTGAGCATTTGCAGAGGATTAAGCGTGAGGCAAAAATGAAAATATTCTTAGATTTTAGCACTTAAATGCTTTGCTGTTTATTGGGTACTAATGTGTAGCTTAAAGGGTTTGTAGTACTAGTAGTAAATAGATAAAATTATGGGCACTATGTGGGTGATGGTGAGAAGTACGAATTAGTTATTCTAGGCCCTGCTTCTGATTGTATAGTGTCCTCTAGAGTGGCATTATTTGTTACTATTTGGTTTTGTCCCTATTGTAGTTTTCAAAGAAATCTCAATATGTTTATAAATATGACCAGCAGTTTTCAGCCATCTAACATGTAAATGTTGACCGATGGGTAAATTCACAGACAAATTCAGGCAGGGAAAACTGTAAGCATCGCTATTAAACACACAGCTCTACCCCTGGTTTAGGAGGTCATGAAGTAATAAATAGCTGGAGAGAATGTTTTGGGAAAGCATTACGGTAAACTTGCTTTGGGCATATTGCCCTCTGGCATCTGTGAGCCACTGATGGAGCTGGACTATGGGGGCCACCCAGCTGGTGGCTTTTGTGTTCCCTCAGGTCACTGAAAGGAGATGTCTGTCTCTGAACTTGAGCTGCTTAAAAGCTGGGCAGTTAATTGTATCCAGCCACTTCAGCTTTACTTGCAGCTTTTAGAGGATTGCAGGTGCTTTGAGATAGCAGTTCATTCTGCACACCTCTATCTAACGCTTGTGGTTGTTCAACTCATCCAAAGTTGGGCATGTTGTGCTGCCAGGCAGAACTTCTCTCTGGTGCTGATTATTTCCTCCGGTATCTTCTGTCTGAATGGCTGCTTGCCTGGCACAAGGATGAAGCGAGTTGTAAGCATTACTGTTGGTAAACTTGGCTATTCTTTCTCTGAGATTTGTAAAAATCCTACAACTGTTGAAAGCTAACACGCTTCCAAGGACTTAAGCATCTCTTCCATGTGACACCTTACAAATCTCACATGAAGCTAAAGGGTGAGTTCAGCTGAACATGCAACTGGCTGAGCAGGCAGCAGATATCTGCCTGGCTCTGAGGAAGAGAAGACAGGCTGAAACTCCTGCAAAGAGACTTGAATCACTTGGCTGTCTGAGAACTGAGCCTGGAGAGAGTGACAAGCTTCAGCATGAGCACCAGAACTGAAAGCTGAGTAACTACCCTATGTCCTAGCCATGAGTCTTAGCTGTAGACCTGACTGGGGGGGAAAAAGATATGGTAATAAGAGATGTCCAAGAAGGATGTGTTCAGATTGACTTTGACTATTCAAGAAAAATGTAGAGTTTGCCATTTGTTTAAAACAGTTTCAGTTTTCAAAATACCAGTTTAAGAATTGCCGCTATTCTATAACTGTGTTATATTAAATCTCAACTTTTAATTACTGTTTTCTTCTAAAGTAGCCCTTAGATCGGCAGGCTGCAAGTATATCTGTTCTCTCAGCCAAGGGATTCTGTCAGGCTTTCTAATTGCTATGTTTAGGTTTCTTTTATGGGAAGGTAAAACCACTGCTTCTCCTGATAAGTAACTCATCAATTCTGAAACTTACTATTCTTTCACAAATTGATGTAGACATTTAAATAGACAGCACACATTTTTAAAAGGCTAAATTTCAAGTTCATATTCTCATATTTGACACTGTTGACCTAATCTTTTAAGCTATGTAATTAATTGTCTTAGCAGATTGTTCTTAAAATGACTAGGAAGCTGGTGGCAGTGACACTTGACATGCTACACTAAGGTCATATTAGCATCTTCTACTAGTTTTCTGCCATTTAAATGAGTGTTCTGCTTGCTTTTTTTCTGCTGTTTAGAGTAAATATGTCTATCTGGAAGAATAAATACATGTAAAAATTGGATATGCATATTTTTATGTAACCATAGTTCATATTTTTGCCAGCAAACTCTATTAAAAGTAAGTAAAGTTTCATTAGCAAGCGTGAGGGCCACACTGTTAAATCCATCATACTGCTTAGAATATTATTGTGGCATGGTTTTTGTCAGTGTTTTTAGTATGCCATTCATATGGCTGGTGCTTGTGCATTTACATGTCTAAATCATTCATTATCAGAAGTATTCAATTCTACATTGATTTTTCTGGAGAATATTAGGATGGATTTTTTTCAGCTGTCTGGTGCCGTGCTAACAGTGGAGTCTTGAACGGGCTGCCTCTGCTCTAGGTAACTTCTGAAACAGTTGAGCCTGTCCTTTGCTGCTTGATGACAACTTTTTGTGCTTCAAAATCAGAAGCAAAACTTTAGGGCAAGCTAAATAGCTGTGATTCTGCAGTCTTGTTGAACCAGTTGCTGCTTAAGTGACAAACCTGGGATAATTCCACTTTGGGGTCTCCTGTGACAATCCAGGTGAAAGCAGAGGGAGAATGTGAGTATTTGTGTTCTTTCTTAACTTAATGTAGACATAGGGGCCAGTGTCTCCATATATTATACTGGGAGTTTTTCATTCTGTCATTTAGTGATTTAAAGCCTTCTATCCAGTACACAGCTGAGAAGCAAAATTAAAGACAGTCATGCTTGTGCTATTAGCCTGCATAGGTTGTCTGGTCCTGACCCAGGTGTCTTTTGAACCCCTTGGCTAATATCAGAATAAATGGGATAGATGTCCTGACAAATGTTCCTCAAATTTGTAGGAATGAGTGGCTGAATGATAGAGATCTGCCCTTCAGCATGGTGGATTAATTTGGGTAGGAGTGACCAAGTTGTCTTTGTTCCATGTCATTTGGTGGTAGCTGGGGGACATACAGGTGGCAGTCACGTCCTGCTCGGTGGGATTGTTAATAAGACAACAAGTGGTAGGGAATTAGGGTGACTGTGCTGGAGGGGTATGAAGGGAGTTGGAGCCACAGGATGTAGTTCTGTAGAAGTCATGATTGATCAGTTTGGTCAGCCACAAATATTGTTTCTGCATCTTCTGTGCGACAGTAATTTTTATGGGTATCCATTCTGTTTTGTGCACTTCGACTTAGGACTGCTTCACCCAAGTTCACGTAGAATGTAACTTCTCTTGAAGTCTGCAGCAATGTTGGCCACTTGCTCTTTCTGACATCCCTGTGCAGAGTGAAAGTGAACTTAGGGTGTTGGTGTCGGCCTGCGTGCTTCCTCTTACATTGCTCCTCCATGGTTGATGCTGGGGTGACCGTGCCAGTTGTCTTACGCAGTGCTTGATTGCCAACAGGTTGAACTGACGTGAGGCTTCTGAAGTTTTGCATTAAGGGATTTGTCATCAATTTGTTCTTGAAATCAAACTTTGTCCTACTTTGTTCAAAACTCTTCAACTTGAGTTTGTGGTTTCATAGTGGTTCTGGGGGACAGGTTGGGAGTTGCAGAATACTGGGATGTCCGGGGAGACCAGGTCAAGGAGAGGAAAGACATATTGCGAAGCTTGGCCGTCTTTTCTACTCTGGGACTTGCCCCATGTTATTTCAAGCAGAATGGTTTGCAGCACTGGGAGGCAGTGTGAAATAGATGAATGAGTAGGAGGGTGTTTTTTCCAGCTAGGAATAAGGTTTGTGTATCGTATTGTCT